ATCAGTGTCAAAGAGTGTTAAAGGACAAATTAATGCCTTTTAGGAAAAAACATATAACTGTAGAGATGTAAAAGTTATTGTACATATTTTTCCTATAATACACTAAATATTTGTCCACAAATTCCTCCTCCATGATCAGGAGCTAAACAGTTATAATGTGCTGTAATGGGCACAAGTAGATATTAAGTCCCTGAAGTTTTTATTCCATATCTGTTGTTATGACATCATCATTTTGCCTAGCCAACACCTAAGAACAAGCTAAAATGACTCATTTTTAGCATTCATGCAAATTTAACACCTTATAAAAACATCATATCATTTTAATTTCATGATAATAACATCTAATTTAGATCCAGAAACCGAACGTCAAATCAAACAGTGTTGGGTACATTATATGACAATGAATGAAATGTAAATATGCCTGCAGTTCACGTTCTTTTTAACACGCTCATCAGGATATCTGAGCGTGTGTCTGAGCGGCTCTTGGAGGGAGCGGTGGTGCGTGCTCCGGGGTGGAAGTTTGTACCTTCAGAAGGACCCCGGGGACCAGCGACCCCCAATCATTGTGGTGCCACTCAAGGGGGCAGAGGTGATGCCAGGCGGGCTTGGACCTAAACATCCGTTTTCTTTCCGCATCCTACAGGGAGGCAACGAGCTGGCAGCTCTGGAGGTGAAGCAAGCGATCTTGAACCATTTTATCCAGCACAGGAGATTTAATGTATATACAGATTGATTTTATTTGTGCCACTTGGTTACATCACTGTTGATATACCTGAGAGGTATCATCAGTGTGCGCACAGGCATGCCATGCCTTACATTTTTCTGCTCATGGACTAAAAAACAAATGTGCATGTGTCTGTTTGTGTGTCGTTCAGGCCAGCTGCTCTGAGGATCTTGGCCGCTGGCTTGGAGTTTTGTTTGCAGAGACCGGCAGCAGCACTCTCCCTGAAGAGTTGCACTACGATTACATCGATGTGGACACACTTACTGACATACGGCATGCTGCCAGACACTCCTTCTTGTGAGTCAACAGTATGCGTTTTTGTGCATATGTTTACCCAACAGTCTTTTATTACAGCTTTTATTCTGAAATACTCATTTTTGTATTCATATATCTTCCTCTTCTTTTTCTCCCAGGTGGGCCACAACAGCTAACTCCTCCAGTAGTGCTTCAATAGACTCCAGAACTTACGATGAGGTCTATGAAAGTGTTGCGGTGAGAAAACTTTATTTTTCTTTAATTGTAAGTAAGTGATGAGATACAAAGACCTTTATATTAAACACAGCAGACACAGAGATGTTTAAATCCTCTCCTCTCTCTTACATTCATTATTAAAATTTATTGCAAATTTACAGAATACAAACACCATTTTTTTGTAACTTAGGATTTTAATACCATTCTGTGTTGAGCTTCACTGGAGCCCCAGTGAAACTATTAATAAGATTTTGGATAATAGATTACCAAAATATGTTGTTGTTTTTTTTAATCCGATCTTTAAAAAGCTTATATTTATCATTCATACAAACATATAGTATTTACATGTTTGTATGGGAACTTTTCCTTAAAGTTCCCCTATTACATTTTGTTAA